TCAAGAGTTTTTGCCAAGGCATAGCTCTTCATACTTTTTGATTGTGTATTTGCCTTTTGCAGCGGCTACTACCTATTAAAAATTCCATTCCTTTTAATATCGTTATATCATATGTGCAACAAGTTATAGCATGTTTGTAGATAGGTCTCGATCTCCTCATCGACGCTTACAGCCGTGGGAGAGAAGCTGCGAAACAAAGTCGGTATTGTATTCAGCAGAAGTCCAGTTTCATAGACGAAGGTGTGACTAACTTCTGATTGCAGTAGGCTTTGCTGATTCCATATTATTTTTTTTGAATTATTGAGTTTTGCTTAATCTTCTCTTGCAGTCCCAACAAGTATCGATCTAGTTCCAAGTCCTCCTCTTCCAAAGTTCATTCGAGTTGGTATTAGTGATATTGTTTTGCTTCGATTTTTTTTCACATAACGTAGCTGTTTAGATAGTACCTCTTCGAAACTCTCGAAAATACCGCTCAAACAATCGCAACCAAGTCGCGCTCGAACAAGTAGTCACCCACAGGCGCGAGATCTGGAAGCAGGAGTTCAGAAATATGTCGAAAAGCTTCAAAAATGGAACAGCAGTAAGCTCAAGTCGTTATCAGTCTATAAGGTTTTTGCTAAGCTTCAGCATGTATATAAGACATCAGCTTGATATTTGACTGTTAACTATATCATTGCGACTAACGCGCCTAATTAGTGACTTAACAAGTCAATGTGCTGTCTAAAATGGTTAATTTAGTGCACAGCCCATCGAAATTTATGGCAGGAATGATGTCCGCCGATGGAGTGTATGAGAGACCCATTGAAAATACCCCCAAACGTCGATCCCATGGGCCCTGGCTTGTTGAACATTTCAGCAAGGTAGGGCATCAAGTCACATATAAACTCAAATCTTATGTTTGCCTTACAGGTGAGTGATTCGGCACAGGAAGAAAACGCAGAGGAACCGCAGTGCTCTAAAAGAAATATAGTAAAGATTGAGAAAGAAAATCGTCGTACCGATGAGTACCTCGCAAGCAGATTGAAAACTGATAAGGTAAGCTGCCTAGAAAATTCTGAAGTGCGACTTTTCATTTCATCGCAGTAACACTTTACATAACTCAGACTTCTTCTCCTATACACAACAACTACTCGACGCTCGATAAATCAGCGAATCGCCCCAGCCATGTAGTTGAAACGGACGAAGATGGGTATGCAATACCATCAGCTGAAAGGAGAAGTGGACG